AACAAATGTTTTGCAAATTCATTATTTAATGTGCAGCGTTATGTTTTCTGTTTAAATAAACATCAAGAATCCCTTTGCCTGTGTGTAGAAAGAAAGAGAGAGAGAGAGAGAGAGAGAGCCTTTGATTAACTGCACTCATAAGTGGTTCTGACTCCTTGCAGGCTTCGTTACTCACTGAGACCTTTTTTTCTTTTTAATATAATAGATGTCCCTGCCATTGCACCATGATAAAGTTTCCAAGATTACACATGCTGATTGTCTGGCCCTCTTACAGCCTGTCAGAAAGCTGCCGGACTATGTAAAAGGACATTTTGTTCACAATTCCTTTGAACAAGACAGGAGTTAGTGCTTTACATAAATCTGTTTTAAAATTGCTAAATTTTTTACTCCACAGGCCAGAAAGCGGCTACCAGGAGAGATGTGACCATCGTCAGCCTCCTAGTTGCTGTTAGAGCTGTATCCATTTTGAGAGAAGTGCACTTGTCAGGGCTGTTGTGTGAGTCATACAGAAACTTGAATTCATACTTCTGCTTTGCAGCTTCACTTTATTGAGCTCAATTCTGAAAAGGGAATAATGCAAGAGCAGTGTTATCAGGTTTGTAATATTTGCTTTCAGAGCTTGAGAAGAATGTCTTTATTTAATTGGAAGTTTATTTTAAACTAATTCATCATCATTATTACTCTGAACAGAAATATACCGTAAAACTTGAATTCATAACCCAGGCTTTTATTTACTAAAGTCTATGGATTTTTTGTGTCTTCCTGTTTGTTCTTCTCATTTTTGATCTGCAAACGATTTCAACACGGAGTGCATAGGGGGCCTCTTACTAAGAAGAGACAGAAACCAGCAACTTCACCAGGCTGGTGAAAGCGACTGGGCCTTTCATTGGGATGGGATTTTTATTTTTTATTTTTTTAAGTTTACAATAATTGAATACATTTCCTTAAAAGCTTTGCACATTGTACAATATAATTTGCCCCTGCATCTCATCAAACAAGTATAACATCCTTTACATTGTAACACCAATCAATCACAATGCAATAGGCATTCATGACAATGCAAATGATAATGATACAGCTTAATCATGTTATAAACAGCAATTAATCACGGTGGGACAAATGTCACAGAGGACATTAATAACTATTTGGCATAAAAATGTGAATCATTCCTCATGATTCATTTTTGTTATACTTTGTGTTTGCAGCACGTTAAATGTGTTTTTTATTGAGAGCTAAACTTATGACCTGAGAACTACAACATAACTTTTTTATTTGCAGGCCTTTCAACAGTCATTGTTCAAACATACACTTTTATACAATATATGTGGAAAAGAAATGTAGATTAAAGTAGCAGCCGATGAATTAATAATTTAAAACACACTTCTTACCGACTCGCAGCTAAAATTAACTTCTTCCACATTCCCCCCCAAAAATTGCGAAACCTAAATTGATTAATATTCATGAAATCCACTGCAGTGGTGTTAGAAGAAAGTATGAAGTTACACAATAATAAGCAATATAAAGTTTATAACTGCCATTAATATGGTTGATTTAAAAATCCCAAAGCATCTTATAATGATGGTGCATTTGTCAAAGGTCTCATCTGGCCCGTGTGCATCTGCTGAGATTATTTTAGTCTGCAGTCCATCCATCACACTCAACATGCATTAATGAGCTATCAAACCCAGCAGTTGGACAGCATGTAGCTAAAAGGTGCCTCCAGTCTTGAAAAGAAGCTTAAATATATACGTCCTGTGGACTGGGTCGTCATTTTACACATGAGGTTATCATGTTGATGGATGAGGTTTTGAATTTAATTTAATCTATATGTTGAACTTGATTCACAGGCAGATTTAGTCTTTATTCAGTGGGAAGGGGCGATGTGTGTATTTGCTCCAGTGCCAGGATGGTATAGTTTATAGCTGGCTGTACTTTATGGGTGTTCAGCTGTGTGTATGTGTGTGTAGGTGTGTGCACTTGGAAGAGTGCTGCACCATACTCAGGCTGTCAGGCTGAAATATCACTGCACTCTCTCTTGATTGCTGTGTACGGTGCTCCAGCCCTATTCATAAAAATGCAATTCCATGCAGCTCTGTGCCTGGCCTGACGAAATAAACTAAGCTACAGCAGAGAGGCAGATTTAAGACGTAGGAGAGCAGAAGGCTGCTGGAGGGGGTTGGCACTCAATTACCGCATGCAAGAAGGTTCAGGATGAGCTTCTATTTGTAGCAAATTCTTAACTCAGGTCTGGTGTACAGACAAAGGTACATGTCAGAAAAGTGTCTCGCTGAATTTTAGGGAGGACATTTTCAGTTCAAGAAGTTTTTCCTAATGTTTCTTGAAATGTAAAGATTTGCATTGATTTTTTTATTTTTTATTGTTAATCAATGAACAAGATGCTTTGAGTTGAGTACTTCGAGGAGAATAACATAAAAACAACACCTTGAAAGTGTCGACCTGTTTATACCTTACTCCTCCCAGCACCACTGGTACCTGTTTTTGGGTGTGGTGAGAGTAGCACTCAGCTTAACCTTTAGTCTTGCAAACAAGTGTTTGGAGAAAACTTGTTTAGCTGGAGCATTTTGCATCTAAGGAACCGAGCCCTGGCATTTAAATAAAGAAAAAGCTACTTAAAACATCACAAGACAACATAAGGATAAAAGACATAAGGCCTCCCAGATTGAATGATTCACATGTCTGTCAAATCTTGATGGAGCAGGAGAACTCTGTGTGGGAAACAAGTGTCCACAGTCAGGCTTAAAGTTTCAGTCTACATTCTTTAACTACTGAGCCTGTAGCATCACAAACATTTAAGTCATCAGGTCTTGAACACCTGTACGTCACTGCAGCAGTTGGCAAGACCAGATTGTTAAACTTAGTTTCAGTGCTAAGAAATGATCTGGTACCTTTAACAAACCGGTGTGCAGATGTGGTATTTTGTAGCTTTGAACCTGTTATTAGAAAAAAGTGATGCATTTTGCTAAATGCTAAAACTCCATTGAGACTATCATCACAAAGAAAAATTCTACAACCAAAAAGAAGGAATAATTTCAACATATTTTAAACTGCAATTGTTTGCTAAAGTAACTAGTTTTTTGCTATGCTAATGAGATGTGAGAGATAGTGAATAAGCCCTTGGCAAATCTCTGCTGTCTCTATTTTATATTAATTTATCATGGATCTGTCAAACTAAACATCAGAGAAAGTCCCCATCAAAGAGAAGCTATCTCCAGCATAGTTTGTTGCATTTTGCCTGAAAGGTTGTTTTTAAATGTTTAAATGGTTAGCTAATTCATCAGAAATGGTGCCAATTAAAGTACTGTCTCTCAACTAAAATATTTATGATCCTCTTGTTTCAGCTCCAGTGTAAGAAATGTAGTTCTTGTCTTTGTTATGTAAGACAGTGTTTTCCATTTCTTGCTCACAAAAGATCTGATTGAATATAAAGAATATCTGGAGCAGACTAGTTTTGAACTATACGGTTGTCGTCCAAAAGAAGATAGCCGCCAGTGACGGGAGACACCGTAGGAGGGAATGGCAGCTGCTCATACTTGACAATATACAGCCTTCACAAAAAAAAAAAAAAAGCTTGTTCTGCCCCTACTTCCTGTTCAAAGAGAATAGCATTAAAGCTGATGAAGACGGAGCAGCGAGTTATTCTGCTGGGCATTAGTCTCCGACTTGAAAGTGAAGATGTGTCTTGAATCCTCTTATTGTCGGTGAAATGTGCTTACTGAAATGTGAACCTAACATTTTGAAGATATCAGTCAAGTTTGTATGCAACAACATGCTGATTGTTACTCGACTTCTCTTCATGATTTTGATTACATAGCTTTTAAACCTGCTCCTAAACAAACATGCTAACTGTCATGAGTTACTCTGGACTTTTTTTTTCTCCATGTCTCACTATTATCCTTTCACCTGCAGAACCACCTGCTTAAGCCTGCCAACTAGCTGAGCCTTCTTTCCCAGCTCTCCCACTGTGGCTCATTGAGCATCCTGCCATTTCCTTTCAAAACAGGAGGATGTGATGCAAGGATGTGAGTGCTGTGGTCAGGTCCCCGGTGTGCTCACCCTGCAGGCCAGTAATGTGAGAGATGGCTCCATGACAATGGGTTTCCTTGCAAAGTTTCTCGTGTGTTTTCCTCGGGAGGAAATTGGTTTGTTTAACACAAGTTTTAAAAGCTGCAGCAAGGTTAGAGGATTGTGATCATGTGTTGGAATAACTGTCAGAGGTCTCCATGCCAACAGCTGCACAGTCTGCACTATGTAGCTGACTATGCCTCTAAGGCTTGAGAGAATATTTTAAGATCTTGAAATGTGTGTTAACTTAATCTAAAGACACTGTTGGCACTATCTGTACCATTTTGCTGCAGTATGTTTTGTGTTTTCAAGCGTAATAGTAAATCTATTTTTTTTTTACTGTGCACTTCTAAAGAGCTGCTGCAAAATACAGCCAGTTAAGGTAAGTATGTAACTGGCTTTACTACTAAGGGAAGTCTATAGGAGTTATTTTTTACTTGGGTGTGAGCTAATTTTTGTTTTATACTCAGCAGTTTTCTTCAAATTCTTTTCATGATGTTGCCTCTGGGAACCACCAGCTGTACAGCCCTACTTTCACTTTTTATACAACCCTTCCACTTTCTCATCCTCCTTTTTTTCCCTCAGCACAGGGGGAGGATGAAGCACTCCAGTTTGCTAGAATCTGTTTCCCAGCAGCGGCCCTAGCTTTAAGATGGATCGAGGGGATTTGCATGGGGTAGGGTAGAGAGAGTGTGAAATGTGGGGGAGAGCTGGAGTGAGAGGGAGAGAGATGTTACTGCTGAGGCTCAGCAAATGAGGGTTGTAGTGAGGGAGGGGAGGAAGAGGGAGGAGAGAAAAGGGGGCATAGCCACACAGATCAGAAAACAACCGTCCCTTCCTGTGCCCAGAGGACACACGCTGCTGTCTACTTGAGCTGAGAGTGAGGGGGAGAAGGAGGAGGGAGGATTGACTTCTACCTGCTGAAGAAGCCGCGCTCACCCCCTTCTTCTTTGCTCTTCCTTTCAACCCAGCCTGTCTGGAGCCGCAGAGGACTGTCAGCTTGTACAGACGAAGCACAAGATCAGAGTGCTGGCAGAGAAACTGTGCCTACAGCTCTGCTACCTGCTTTACCACCCTGTTTTACTCTCCCTCACACATGCACACCAAAGCGCTCTCACAGACACACATTCAGAGAACTTTCTCTCTCGTGCGCACACTCTTACATGCTGACAAGCAGGCAGGGAGGCAGTCACACCCCCTCCCATTATCTGTGCGAGGAGCAGTTCTGCTCATATTGGTGTGAGCAGCGCGCGGCTGGATTTCACTCCTCAGCAGCAGCAGCAGCGGCAGCAGCAGCGGCAGCAGGACAAGTCCAGAGGAGAGCAGTCATTATTAGATATCACACACCAGCTTCTGCATCTGAAGGCAAGCCCACCCTCTTCTGCTTCAGTTTTATCTCTCTTTTCCCCTCTCCTCTTTTTCCTATCTTGGTGTGACGCAGTGTGGCTGACCTTCCCTTCTCCCCCTCCTCGCTCTTCCTTTCTCCTCAGCGTGTGCCAGTGGGACAGCCATGGAGGACACCCTCACCTGCAGCAGCCATGCCACCTTCTCCCAGGTGTTTGGACGCCAGGGGCAACTAATGCAAGCCAGTGAGTAGCCTCAGTTACACCTCCTTGCCTCCTGACAGATAATTAGCCAGCTGCATGTCCTGCATGTTAGCGTAACCGATCTCCACCCTCAGCTGCTCTTCCTAAATACATCCTTGTTATTGCTGCCGTTTTAATAGAGCTAATGCTAAGAGGCGCATGACACGTCTTTTAAAGGTGCAGGAAGAGGTAAGTGTCTTCCTGGACCACTGCTGCAACAATGTGAAATTTTGAAGGGGAAATAAATCAAAGCTGGGTTATTTTGGGCAGGATGTCAGAGAAATGCGTGATCCTGTCAAGACCAAAAAGAAAAATTGGTTTCGTAAACGGAAAGGTGTGATGGTGATCGTAGTTGATGTTTCTGTTAGTGCAGCAAAATGCTCAGGAGCAGGATGGATGAATTGACTTGTGAAGTATAGTGCGTTATAAGCAGAGAGCTACAGAAGCACATCTTTTTTAGACAATATTTACACTGAAGTTGGGGCTGTGGCTCACCTGTGTTAGGGGTCACACTTGACATATGGAGCAAATGACGGGGACTTTAAACGAGGCGGGTCAAATAAAAGAGGGGCTGTTTTGTGGACTCATTAACAGCAGATATGAAGGTTTTGTTTGCAAAGAACATTCCTGCATTTTGAATTGAATACTTTGAATTGTGGAGTAGCAGATTTTTTTTTTTCTCTGGTTTGGTGTCAAAACCAATAACACCGTTTCTACCTGAAATATATTCATAATGCAGGTGCACAGTATTAGGGTGTTTGAGTCTGACAGCCTGAGACACCATCAGAGATTCTCTGAGAGCTCTGACTGATTGCTAAATTATTGAAAACTAAATCAATCAGGAATTTCAGGCTGCACAAATATTGAAGCCAACCTTGGAGCGCTACAAATGAAGCATACATGTATGATATCTTATTATGTTATGCACATGGTCAGAATACATATTTCCCCAGGGAGGGGGGGGGGGTGTAAGAGATTGACTGGCCTCTTGAATGAAAGTGTCTGCTGCATCCTCCCTCATCTGGCCTGTTAGTCAATGCCTTTGATGCCTCCTCTTCGCTGTTAATTCAAAGTGACTCTTCACACAGAGTTATGATGGATAATGAGGAGAGCTCAGGGCCGAAATCAAAACAAAACTGCCTTTAGAGTTGCATCCTATATGTTGACTTTGCCACATCCGATTTAAAGTTCTGTGTTTCCACTCATTACCTCCTGGAGAGAGAGAGGTGTCAGAGTGGAGTTTCAAAGCAAGTGTCATCAACAACAAGCCTGATCAGGCAACACTCTGTGTCGCTAATAAAAGAGACACGTCAGTCATATTCATGCGCTGAAAAAACTCATGCTTGGTTACACGTGTTTTTTAATAAGTGGTGCAGCAGGATTTCATCTGGGGGGATTTATTTAGCCTGTTTGATATGTTGCTGTTATTTGGGAAGACGGGCTTGAAAATCTGGAGCAGAGGATTGTTGTTGTCTCTGCTGTCTCTGACGTTCTTCGCCTCCTCTGAGCACACGAGAACCCCGTTATAAATAATGCACTTTGTTTGACTGTGTCTGTGGGCCTGATACTGTGTTGATAAGAGCATATTACTGTTAAGAGGTTGCAGGGGGATGGATGTTGAGTTGCACAAAATGAGTGGTTCTGGAGAGCTGCTGACCCATGTGTCTCTGGTTACATGTTGTTGTGGCAGGCAGAGAGAGATGACCCACTGAGGATGCAAATGAAATGTACACAAAACAGGGGAAAGACTGTAAAAGTCAAACATATATTGCAGGCTATAAGATCTCAGACATGTCGGGAATTTCTCCCACGTCCTGTCCTCATGTATATCTGTGTGCAGTCTTTACACAGGACTTTGTGTCACAGTCCTGTGCTGTAGTCGGTCAGTTTATCTGGAGGGCATCTCTGTATAAAAAGGAGGTAAAACAAGAAGAGGGTGTGGCAGTGCCGAAGAGTTGAATCACATTATGGCTGAAAGCTGAGCCAGTGTAGACTTCAAACTAAAAGGGTCCAAAAAACACGAGGGGATTGTTATATTATGAACAGTATAAAAAGAAAATGGAGGGTATAACTGTAAAATATAACATACACACAGGTGCCAGTTTAATAGCTGAATCTATTCAGCAACAGTCCTGCAATAAACCCTCCCTTCATGAAGGCTATAAAGCTCCAATTTAGTTGAAGCTGTTTTCAGAGGTGTTGAATCAACTTTATGGTCATTTTGGTGGCTGCAGTTTGTGGGGGTGTTCAATGATATTGCATTATACAAACAGGTGTAGCTATTTTTATTGTGCTAGGCTCTTAATCACGTGAACACTAGTCTGTCAAATACAGCTACATTTTATAGAAAAATACCTTCGGTTATATACTCCGAAATATCTGAGTATTCAATAAAAAAACTGAATAAATTCAGAGAAATGAATGGCTTAAAGCTGCTGGCGCTCCTGTGGTCCAAGCACTACGTCTTATGTATTTGTTTAATTTGCTGTATGTGTGAAAGTAGTGTTTTCTGACAACAAAATCTCCCCTTGCTTCTTTACAGAGTACTCACCGTGAATCTGTGAAAATGTAACAAAGCCTTTTTGTTCAGCAGCTGTAGGGGTGGTTTCACACTAGGAACCCAGGCCCAGATCCGAGTACGCTTGACCCCAAAGTTCGGTTAATTTGATCAGTGTGAACACAAACGTACTGTACTCGTACTGTATTTGGGTACCATGCCCAAGCCACCTTGAAGAGGTGGTCTCGGGCACGGATCATGCGTACTCGAGTACGGTCTGCGGGAACTGTGAACGCAACCATGCTCAAACAAGGACATGGGCCGCAATTAAAATGACAAAATTCTAAACATGTTGCTTCAGAACCATCATATCTACGCAGCACAGGCCCATTTCATTTATAGATGTGGATGATGGAAGAGGGTTGTTGTTAGCGTCTCAGAAAAAAAACAAAAAAACATTCACACTTAGTAGGATGGACGCGACAGGTCGCCATGGTTGCTTCTTCTTCTTCTTTCTGCCTTTTGGTGGATTTGCAAACCAAATACGTGCGTACTGCCACCCGCTGAATGTATATACATACCCTCGACTGACCTACCCTCCAGTAGAGCTTTCATGCATTAGAAAAAACCTTGATTGAAAGAAGTTATCTTCTTTCCTGATTTCCCCATTTGCTTTTGTAGGTCCAGCCGACGCAGCCGTGTAAATTCACTCTGTTTCATAACAAGAAAAAAATAAAGAAAATCCTCACTGGAGCTTTAGATAGTTTTTTTATTTCTTTTTTTTTAATCCTCTCATTACCCAATCAGATATATTTTAGAAGTCTCATGTTTTGAAAACCTGCCGCACCGTGTTTACTGAATAAAGCAGACTTGAAAGTAAACGCATGAAATAAAGTCACACATTTTCTTTCATTTTAAAACTCATGATTTGTGTTTTCATTCAGCCCACTGTGTCTGTTTGTGTTATAATGAAAGGCCTCATGCAGTGTGTACAGTATCTGCCTCATGCAAATGCTGTTTGATCGAGGTAGTTGTCAGAGCGGATGCAGACGCAAGAATCTACCAGAAATGTAAATTGCAGCTTCAGTTTAGCAGCTGTTGTGTTTTGATGTATTGTGCTGAAAATTGTTTTTTATGTGACAGTAAGTGACTGACACTCTGTTAGAACAGAAAAAATAATTTCACATCGGTGTGAAAACAAAGTGATGGAACAGTAGAACAAGCAAAGAAGCAGCATCTCTTTCATTCTAGATGTGTTCTTTAATTTGCAGCCTTTCAGTGATAAAATGTTTTCATCCTCCCTCAGTGCCGAGAGATGAAACACTTTGTCTAAGACTTACATGGACAACAAATACACATAATTGTAGCAAGAGTGTCCCTTGGTCCTGAAAGCATTTTTCATTTGTGCATCTTTGCCACTACAATAATTCCGCCTTGAGGAAATAGCAAGCGAAACCACTGTTTCTTGGAACTACATGCATTATTCACCACATCTCGACTTTCTTTGTGGCGTCTCCACGATTACTGCTTGAATTCCCTCCTCTTCATCCTTGCTTTTTATTTTACCAACATCCTTTCCTGCTTCTTGCCCTTTAACTGCTCGCAGGAACATATAAAAGTTCATAATGGTCCACAGCCAAATGAAAAATAACCTTACGTGCACTATCACTTTGTTAGCACAAAACCCTGCAAGCTCAGGCTCTGCTCCTTCTTGCCCAGATGACCGTGCCCTGACAGTGCAGCGGTTTCAGTCACCTTTCTGCTCCACTGGACCAAAGTGATGTGAGGATAGTCACGGTGTGAAGTTGTCTGCAGTGTAACTCTGAAAATCGTCATTCTCCCTCATGTCCCTGCTCAGAGAGGTCAAGGTGTTGGACTATGTCCAAAGTCCTTTTCCCTATTAGACTTTCAGGCTTCCAGCCATCAAACCTAATAGTAATATAATTCAAAGAGAGAGAGAGACTCTTTTAAGTGCTTCTTTTCATTGAGTCATTTCCAGTGTGGGTGTGTTCTAAATCTAATCTCATAAAAGCTTACACCGTTCATTCCTGGATATGATAAACTTCTCTCTTTCTTGGTTAAGGCCCAAACAGTCGCATCAAACTTACAAATAACATGTATGGCCACTGCTGAATTGGCCTTAAAACGTCCATCACATTGTTTTATATATATTCTTACTTACATTATTGATCGTAGTCTCTGGGTATCCCCCAGCAGCACAGAAAATCACTCTGTCAGAGTAGATACTAGCCTAATTCAGATCTGCCTCCTCGTTTCTAATCCCCATATTGGATTTAAGAACCCCGGTAGAGCTGGAGGGGGGGCTGTGCATGTCTGTCAGTTAGTACATCCTGTCTCACTGTGACAGCCTCAGGCCAGTTAAAGTTCTTTTAAATATCTGATTCAGATTTAAGGTAAATAGTTTGTGTGTCTAATAATGAACCAGTTTGTTTTAATGTATACCCATTTGCTTAGTAAGGCCGATATAGCCTTGAATCAAATCTGT